TTTTTAGGAGTTTCAACTTTTGGATATTATTCATATTTCATGAATTTAAATTTTTTTTAAAAATTTATATTTTTAAATTTTTTTTAATCTTAAAAAGCTCTTAAACAGTAAAAATTTAAAAGTTTTAAATCCAAAACTTTTTATAAACTCCATTTTTACTCACTTTTTTATATTTCCAAAAGCTAAAGTTTTATTTTTTCTCTAATAAAAATTTAAATTTATCACTTATAATAATACTCAAAAAGTAAAAACTCTCACAAATCACACCAAACAGACTCCTGTTTTAGGGTGCTTATCAAAACTTTTGTTTTTTTTTTTACTGTTTATAAGTGATAAATTTAAATTTTTATTAAAAAGTTTAAAATTTATTTTTAAAGATAAAAAAATAAAAAATAAATAAAAAGTGAGAAAAAAAATTATTAAAAATTTGAATTTGAAACTTTTAAGTTTATATTGTTTATGATTTTTTTAAAATTAAAAAAAATTTAAAAATATAAAATTTTAAAATAAAAATTTAAATTTATGAAATATAAATAATATTAAAAAACTAAAAAAAACCACTCCCAAACAGGCCCTTATGCTGATCAGTTGCTAGCCTCCGAGAAACTAAAACGCTGAACTTACTACCTTTCCCAACTGCTTCTGGGTACCGAATGAGCTAGGGGCAAACTAAATGCAAATTAGTACTAAGGTGAAGGATTAGTTTACTAAATGTTTAATGATGCAAATGATGTACCTTTTTCCTAATTTTAAGAAAATGCCCCCGCAATCAATTTTTTTATTAGTAAAATTTATTTATATATAAATTTTATATATTATATTTATATAAAATTTTAAGTTTTTAAATTTTAAAAATTATGATAAATTTTAATTATTAAAAATAAAAAAATAAATAATTAAAATTTTATATAAATATAATATATAAAATATTATTTTAAAATCAAACCAGATCAATTGATTTGATTGATTGATTTGATCGCCACCGATTGCTGAAACAGACCGAGTGAACACCCAAGGCCGTTTTGACAATCCAACAGTCCAAAGCCAGAAAACCCACTTGACCCGTACCCCGGTAAACCCTGCACACCCGCAGGGCGAACCCTCCATGCTAGAGGCTGGAGGCTGCAACCTTTTTTTTTTTTCACTATTGGTTCAAACAATCAAACCTCAAAGTTTAAATTTGCCATCTCCAAAGTTCGAACACGTGATTTCAACTTTTTAACAACTCTTGCCACTGCCGCATCAATATTGTTGACTTTTATATTAAAATTAATATAAATTTTATTTAATTTATATTTTAAAAAATAGATTAAGAATATAATAAATCTAATTTTTTATAATTAATTTATATAAAAATTATAAAAATTAACATCTATATAGATAATTTTAATTAATTAATTAAATGTTAATTTTTATAATTTTTTATATAAATTAATTATAAAAATTATATTTATTATACTTTTAACTTATGTAATAAAAATCTATTAATATATTGTAAGTTACATGTTAGAAACATAATAATTAAACTTTGACATGTCTTGGGTTCAACTTTCATTCTAATTTTGAGAGAAACGATGTTACGCCACTGGAACCATTGCAGAGTTATTGTCACATACTACACAACATTATATTTATTGATATCTAATTGAACCAACAATTTAGACTGTTTAATTGATTGAACTAGTCAAACCAAAACCCAAAGATCAAAATAGTTTGATCTCATGATTGGTTTTCAAAACAGTAGTATAAAATTTATACATAAATAGATTTTTCCTCTATTTTAGTATGTTAAATTGTGTTTTATTTGTGCATCAATAACAATAACCATAGCCGTGTTTATCAGTATCTTGATTGCCAATTCCTAGTCAAACTCTGAGTTTAGGCATTGGGATGGAGTTGGTAAACTAGGCAGTGCTCCATCTGTTACGTCCAAATCCGCATTTTCAAAGTCTAATTAGTAAATTATAGGAAAAACCATGACATAAATATTTACCTTATAATGTGACATAGCATTTTCTTTTTTCGTTTTTTTTTTTATTTCAAAATATTATATATAAAATTATATACATATTTAATATCCTATCGTACCCTACAATGCACGTAACACTGAACTTAATAGTCCAAACCAAAAAACACTATACTTAATAGTTTTATGGTAAATTTGACTTCCAGTTGAAGTTCATTGTAAACTTAATTTTTAGGAACAAATTCGAAGTTTGAATCTTGAACATGATAATTTTCTGCTCAACTAATCCATAAGCCTTGCTGGGCGTTGGCCAGCACTATGATGTGGACTTATGAGGCACATCATAGCCAGGCCCTTGGAAAATTGCCCATTACTGATTCCATCGACTTGGGCCCGAAGGAATTGTCCATACCACATTAGTTCTTAACCAATAACCATGGCGGTTGAACTTGGATTTAGACTTTGCTTTAAGAACTAGTGTTGTTGATTTCCTCCAGCCAACACGTACTGGATTTTTCATTACACTGAAACGGTAGAAAATTTAATTTAATTTTGGTCAAATTTCGTTTATTTTGGTCAAATTGTGGTATACAAACCGATATTTCGGTGTACCGATGGTGTTGACATCCACTTGAGATTTTTTTGGAGAAGAAAGATCCTCCCTTTCTGGTGGCTGCTGAACCCCTTTGCTTACCAGTGATGAAGGTGGAGGCAGTGATGATGATGAGACGCAAGAAGATTGTCAAGATCATAGTCCCCAAGGGGGCTTGTAGCTAGATCTGCTTCGTCTTCTTGGTGATTGGTGAGGGTGGTGGCAATGAGAGTGATGATCAGCTAGCAAGAGGATGGTGAAGGTCAGAGATGAAAGAATAGAGGTGGGGGTCGCGAATCTGCAGAAGGGAGAAAAATCAAGAGACTTATCTCTTCTTTTTTTTTTTTTTTTTTTTTTTTTTTGTCTGCTATCTCTTTTCCCTTTTAAAAGAGAGGAAACTCGGGTTTTCTTTTATTGCTAAATTTGGGTTTTGATGGGCTTGTTTATGAAATTGGGTTGAGACTTAAATTAAATTGTTGGTGGGTTCAATATTGGGGTTTGGGCTGGATTTGTGGGTTTATCAGGGGCGATTTTGCAGATATTGGTGGGAAGTTGTCGAAGATGGCCTCAGATTATCTTCCATTTGGATCAAGGGAAAATGAAGAAGAAGACGACAATGAGGAGGAAGAAGAAGAAGAGAATGAGGAGTTTTGTGCAGTAGGGATTACGAATGAGGTATTGACGTTTGCAAGCAATATTGCGCATCATCCAGAAACCTGGTCGGACTTCCCTCTCAACCCAGATGAGGACTTAGACGGTAATTTCTTGTTTAGACATCAAAGTTGATTTAGTCTCATAGCTAGATATATAATTTCTTTACATCTTTGGGTTGGCAATTGAAGTTAGTCTGTAGAATTACCTAGAGTTAGAGATCTCTGACAAATTATACATATCTGAGCTTGCCCCTTTTTTTTTTCTTTTACTTGTTTTAGATTTTGTAATGTCTGATGCCCAGCGTGATTGGTACACATCAGCCTCCTTAGGCAACAATAAATCTTTCAAATGCTAAGATATGAAAGAACTTTTCTTCTATCTAAAAACATAGTATTTTACATGCCCACACCATATATGTGTATTTATTAGTTGAGAGAAAAATAAAAGAGAGATTTAGCAGTTAGCATCATCTTGCTTGCTTAATTATTTTGTGTTTGAGATCCATAGTGAGCACGCCAACTCTAGATGAGTTCTCTTGGTCATGGTCGTGATCTTGACCGTGCTCATTGTCGTGGTTGTGGTAACCATTGGATGGAGGAGATAGAATTCCGGAAGGGTCTCATCTGGGGAACCGATAGGAATGAAAGCAGGAGAATCATGCAGTGGGGGTGGGGATATTGGTGATGGTGGCGGTGGCAGGAGCCTCTTGGCAGTCCATTAATTGGAGAGGAGAGGAGGAAGTGAAGAAAGAAGAGGCGTTTAGGGGCGTGCAAATGATACAGTGTTTAAAAATAGCGGGATTGGTACACATCAACCTCCAGCATGTAAAAAAACGATATGCTGGCACGAGCTAAATGGAGATCATGACGGTGATGATGTCAATAATTAAATAATGGGTGATTTTGGTCAGTTGATAATTTTGGGGAGTTAAATGTCCTTTCACTTTTTGAAGGGTGGATCCGTTCCTATCCATATTTTTTAAGGGGCAATTTAAGGGTTCTACCTTGATTATAAGGGAAATTTTTCCGATTACAAGTATAATTGATAGACATAATTGACAACCAACTTTATTAAATAAATAAGGGTTGAAAATAAATATAATCGACATAAATGTTTTTTTTTTGTTGATTATACTAGTATAATCGATAGTATTTTTATCTTTTTTTGTTAATTATATTTGTTCCAACAATAAAAAAAATTAGAATAAAGAAATGCAAAATTAAATTTTTAATTTTGCAATTATTAATTAAATTATAAAGTCATTAAATAAAATTCAATGATAAAATCAATTAATGCAACAACAATATATATAAAATAATTTTGAGAATAATTGAAAATAAAAACAATATTCAAATATTATGAGACTAATAGAAAAATAAGATCAATGACAAGTAATTTATCTATAATGAAATAAAAAAATTTGTAAAAAGAAAAAGAAAAAGTATTGTTATACATGATAAGATTTAATTTAGATAAAAAGAAATGAAAAATATAAATCAAAATGTGAATTTACCTCATAAAATAATTTTAAGCTTAATAATCTGCAAAAATAAAAGTAAAAAATTATTAGTAGGTTCAATAAAAATAATTGAATGATAAATGAAACTAACAAAAAAAAATTGAATAAAGAAAATAAAAACCTTGGGATGAAAGAATGAAAGAAAATGAAAGAAGAGTAGAAGGATGACAACCAAAAATGAAAATAGAAAAGGTAGAACGAATTGAATGATGAAAGAAAAGTAGAAACAAGAGGGAAGACATGCAATGCA